GGCATTCTCCGCTGTCTTCATCACCATCGCATCGCCATCTTTTTGCAGGCGCTTTTCTAGCAACAAAGGCATTCGGCGAATAGGCCTCTCTTTAGTTGTGTAAAAATTCAATTATATGCATTACCTTTCATATAGCCCATCCACACATACAAAAGAACACTCAAAAAAGCGTCATTACTTAAGGAAATTTTCTTAGAGGAGGCTAAACTTAATTATTGAAATAAAGACAGTGATTTTGTACCGCGATATTCGTTTAAAAAATCGATATAAAAAATCCATCCAAAGTCCACAAAGAAGCGTAAGAGAATCAAAACCATTTTAAGATCAATCGATATAGTTATTGCTTCTGTGTTAAAACAAAAAAATAGAATTTTTCCCAAGTGTAGGCATTATGGGCATGGAGAAGGTTGGATGAATTTGTTTCTCGCCTTCGCCGTCTAATGACAATCAAATTAGCAGCATTTTCCTTGGCGCCAAAAACTTTTTCCATTAAACGTAAATTTTTTTCTTCTTTTACTTTATTTTTTAAACTTGCTTCAATAAATTGATTGGGCAAAGTTACGCTGCGTTTGGCTAAAAGCAATTTTTATGTTTTATTGTCGGGAAGCTTAGAGCGATTTCAAACTTGAACTGCACTCGGTCAGATAAACTTATCCTGTGCCACCGCTCTTTGCCGCCCTTTGCCCATTCTAATCAAAATGTTTACCTCTAATTGAAGTTTCTTGTTACCGGTTTAATTTCGTGTTCATAATCTTATGCAGAACACACGATTAAGTTAAGAGCAGATTGCTCGGGGTGGTAAATGAAGTGGGCGGCGATGGAGGGGCCGAAATGTGGGATGTTCACGTCCCTGTAGAGCCCACTTATCTGTAGACTTGTTTTACTAATACACTAACGTTGGAAATTTTAGGTCAACTTGTGATAAGGAGCATATTTGATAAATGACTTTGCAATCCTTGCCAATAAATGCATTTGCTTAAACATAAGCTGCCATAAATCACCAATCGATAAAAAACTGAGTTATTATTTAAATTCTTGAACCATAAATGTTCCAATGCATTCAAGTTATATATGTAAATAGTTAGGCACTGAAGTGAACTCCACATGGGACTTAATATTAAACAAGGATTAAAATTACAGATTTCGATAAATGGACTTGAAGTTATTGAACTTACTGTAGACGCTTGAACAGCCTTTGCTCTTTGGTTTGGTAGTCACTGTAGGCACACAATGTTCCTGGCCAACACGGTGGCTTGTTATTAATTAGGAGCTTTGTGGACCTTCACAACAGAGCAGGCTTAGCTTTATCCCATCCCTTGCCTTAGTTAAACTCCCAACTCAACCCGTTTCCTCTTCTATTCCGGATTAGTCAGTATGCCGAGCAGATATTTCCATTCAATAATTTATAATTTTTCAATCTTAACCAATTTGATGCCGTGGTCGTGACCCAACTTGCAAAGATTTCTGAACGCTCCCATTCTTTCCCGCCTACTTTCAGTCAGTCATGGCTTATTACAAAGTATAAGGCAAGACGGAAGCCCGTTGGTGGGGGAAAGGTGAGCAGTTGGCAGTGTCATCGCATCATAAACATGAATAATTGCGTTGCTTAACGGGCGTTGAAAGCTCGGGAGACCTCAGATGAAGGAAGGTTTCCATTTCCACTTCTTTGTTGTTACACCCATTCATGAAAAAGAAGTCTTACTTTCGTACTCTGATATGCATCTTAAATAACGAAAAAGTTTAATTTTATAAATACATAAAAAGAGTATTAAATACTTAGTTTGAATTTTGAAAATAACCCTTTTTGTAGTTTTGATTAAGTAATATAATATTTTTTATCGTACATTTCAATAATTATTATTTCGTAAACAATACGTATTCACTGATACCAAAAAAAAAAAATAAAATTATTCTTTAGGTATTTTATGTTTGGGATATAGCCTCTCTACCGGGTATCTATTAGTCGATTCGTCGTCCTATTTGTTTGTTTTTGTCCTGCGAGCGTTCGTGCGCAAGTTCGAAGTGGCCACAACTTAAAGGACGGGGATCGGATGTTGGGGCATACATGAAAAGTAGCTTAACATTAGACAGGACGACATCCGACACTTGTCGGGCAGTTGGTGCCCTCCGAATCCGCTCCTCGCAGCTGAAGCCATCATTGACAGCCATCGAGTGTGGTCCTCGAGGGGGTGGCTATATAGAGGTGGATCGGGCGGGAAACTGATATAGATAGATAGATAGATAGATAGAGTGCTGACCTAGTCTTCATTCTGCACTCCCCGTGTTTCACTGGCGCTGCATCGGATGTAAGCTCCTTCGGAGCTCGCTCCTCCGGCCTCTCATTGCTGCATTTGTGATTCGATTTGATTTGGCTGAATGGGTAGATTATGCTCCCATCTCTATGTACGTGCAGCGTGGAATCTGGGTTAGTTGCAGATTGTATCGACTAAGTGTGTGATGCGGTTTGAAAAGTGGACCGAAAATATCGCAGCAATAATATTCCATTTCCCTTTCTGCTCAGCCAGCAAATGTGCTTTGACGAGGGAATCCCTGCCTGACTAATTAGCGGTTTAAAAGGTTTTAAGGTCTATCTGAAACGTTATTCATTGCTGTTGCGGATTGGATTTGAGTTTATCCGTTGGGTGCAGAACAGCGAAAAGTTTTTACTCAACAATGACAGAAAGACAATGGACAAACTTTGTTATTTCTGGTTTTTGTGGCACGAAAAATGTAACGAAATCCAAAGGCGGGAAGCAGAGAAAAAGATATTGGTCAACAACTAATAAAACTTTCTGTGGCATTCAAAAAACGTACAGCATGGAATCCTGTTTTCACCTGACTGCTAAAAAAGTAAAAAAAATGCCAGTGAAAGCTAAAAAACGCATGCTGTATAAATATTTTAAAAGTTGAAAAATGCACTTGTTTCAACGAACAGAAAGAACAAATATAAATGGCAAAGCAAACTGAAAATAATACAAACTAATTGCCAGCCAAATAAAGTTTATCCAACGAAAAACTGCTATAATGTGTATACCATTTTTTACTCAGCTTTTCTTCGATTTCGCTTAAACTTTTTTAACAGCTTCTGGGAAAAAACGGTAACGAACTTTTCGCAAATGGTGGGAGTTTTTTGGTCCGTCAACCAATTTTTATTCAGCAATTCCAAACTCAATTTTGGTTAGGATTAACGTTGATGTGCTATAAAAGTGCTAAAAGTAAAACTTTTTACTTCCCAAGTCTTAACGTATAATAGATTTGGCCAAGCATAAGAACGAAAAAATATTTTTAAGAATAAAGTTCTTAAAATATTTGTGGGAATTAATAATTTTCTTTATATGCACAAAGTTAAGCAGAAAAAAACAGAAAGATATAGTAGTAAAAATGGGGCTGTGGATTTATGGTAAAGAAAATCCTGAATCTTGACTTTGCGATGAACATTAATTAACATTTGTGGCGCATGAAATACGTTTTGAATATTACAGCCATTTCCTTCTATTAGAGTTGCACTTAAGTTATCAACGTTAAGTGTTCCTCTTCGTAGTTCCTCCGAAAATCTGGATCACCTTAAATTAAATTGTTTGGTACCCCTTTGAAAATACTTTTATTAGCGTATAAAGCAATTTCCAGCAGATTTCGCAACATAAATTATCAACTTGTAGGGACTTAGGCAAACAGGGAGGTCGGATGTTCAGCTCGCCAGCCATTTGCTTTTGGCCTCACGCCCATCAAAGGGTCGAACGACCTCCGCCCGTCCCGCCCCCTGACTCGTGACCTTTTTGGCAGCATTAGGAGTGATAATTTTCACTCACACATAGGGGAATCCAAAGCAGGGGAAGCTACTTCGAAGACTTTTATTATTTAATTTCGCCCGGCTCGGGGTAATAAATTAAACACAGCTTGACTAACGCCCACCCAAGTCCCACCCCTTTCATCCTGATTTTAAGTGAAACGGACGAGACACAACACGTACGTCGTATGCAAAATTTATTCCACAAGCTAAACTACGAAAACGAAACTTTTTCGGAGCGGATTAGGTGCCAAGACTCTCCTTTTTTGCCCCATTGTTTTCTGACTTTCAATTGGATTTCGTCACTGGTAATAAAAATCAGTCGAATCTTAAGCCAAAGGAGGAAGCAAAGCGAACGCGAGCTAGTTTGAAATTGTTTTGATTCAATTATAGCACTAAGCATATATGGCTTTTCGTGAGCAGACGCAGAGTGCTATTATTCCATTTTATAAATTAAGCTGCAAGAGACACAGATGGAGTAATAGCGAACTCACTTACGCTCGCCAAATTTGCATAATAAATCTATTTTCAATGGATTTTCCTCTTCTTATCTGTCTGGTTTTTCGTTAAAGAAACTTATCTTCGACGAGCTTGCCTTTGCGCCTTCTATTTTGGTATCAATAGAACCATTATTATACTTCAGTCAGCCCGCAACCCAACTATCCCCCCCATGGTTGTATTTTTCCTTTATCCTTGCTGCAGCAGCTCTGCGAATATTTGGTTAACAACTGTAAATGTAGTAGTGTGGACTCAGTCTGTGTGTGTTTGTGTGGTGTTTCATGTCTGTGTGGGTGCCAACGCCATATTTGTTTCGCATAAAGATGCAGTGCACTATCTGTATCTCAATAAGCGAGTGTTGGCTTCCATGTGCGGAGATATTCAACATATCAATGGTCTCTTAAAGTGCATGTGCCTCTAATATTTTACACATCTGTTTGCTCTGCAATCGATTTTAAATCAGAGCCTTTAAAGCAGTGTTTTGCTTAAAATATTGCTTGTTTTTATAAAGCATGAAAGTTTTAATCCTGCATTAAAAATAAGCCATTGAACCCATATGCAAACTTTTATTTAGTTTATTCTACACATGAATAAGTAAAAAAAACAGTTGTTTTATAATACTTACCTTGTTTGGTTATAACCTTGTTTGGTTAATATTGAAAGTATTGCAAAAAAAAACTTTTTTCATATTATTTTTATAATTTTTGCAACTTTATTATTTTAATTTTCATTTCATCTTAAGTGTCTGCAACTCGCTTTACACCGTCTCTGTGGTTATACACCATTAAACTAAATTTCCTTCTCATTTGGTTTTCATTATTATGCTCTTCATTACTGATTTTTACTATATTCCATTTAGTCCAAATTTGTTAATGCTAAGTCTCTTTCGCACAATCGTTACACATTTTCTAACGCAATAGTTTTCATGAGTTCTGGTTTTAATTGTATCGTTTTTGTTTTGCCCGTTATGCAGCACTCTATATATTATTTATATAAATTTGTAGTATTATTTTGCTAATTATGCTAAGTTTACACCGTTACATTAATATATAGATTTATTTTTATAGATGTTTGTATATGCATACAGAAGCTATAGACTTATACATTCTCAATTGGGCTGTAAATAATTTTTGTTTTTCATAATAGTTTTCATTTCAGTTTGGTTTTTACTGTCGCTAAATGTGTTTATATAATTTACAAGTATTTTTAATAAGCGCCGTAAATTGTTTGCAATTTTTACGCCGTTTCACTTTAATGAGTTGTTCCATTGCTTAATTTGCCCTCTATTTTTTTCGCATCTCATTTCCATTTTAATTACAATTTTGGGCAATTGTTTGAAATGGTTGTGATTCAGAACAAAAAAACAACCAAGCCGAGAAATACAAAATAATTATGAATATTTGTTATGACTCACTGCGCGTTTCAATTGCCCCGCTTAATTCCTAATGGAATTTTTAACTATTCTCGCAGTTGGAAATTTTTATAGCTTATAAGGGCTTACTTGTTTTTGTTTATATTGTGTGGGCTTATGTACGCATTTAATTTTAATAGCTATATAAATATTTATTTAGTTACATAACAAAGTAGCTGCATGCTTACAATTAACAGTTTAATTTAATTTTGCTTGTGTTTTGTTTGTTTTCTGTCTGACCAAAGTTTAGTTCCACTTTTAGTTTGAGTTAAAGTCGCTTCTATTGTTTGCTGGTGTAGTTGTGCAGTTTCCGTTTTCACTAATCTGCTGAAAAACTTAAAGAAACAGCTCCTTTTCACCTGTACATTGTTTGATATTATGGTTTCCTTTTTTATTTTTGACGTGTTGGTAATTCTCATGGTTTTTTGGCTAAAAACTGCATTCTCATCTTTATTCGTTTGAAAACGTATATATATGGGAGATTTTTGTTGTACATTTAGAGTAGTTCTTTCAATTCTGCAACTAGTTTTATTTACACACAATACACAATTATAATTCAGTCTTTGGAAGAATAACATTCATGTTCTTTTTGTTTTTACGCATTCAGAATCCTTTAAGTTTGTTCCTATAACTCTATTCTACTGTAAAGTTTTTAATACTAACGCCAACAGAAGGAAGAGATGCAAACTTGTCCGTAACTTGGAATCGCATAGTTATTATTGGTCCTAATTAGTTGCGAAATACAGATTGGCGTAGGAAAATAAAAAATTAGAATGCTTATTTTAAATTGAAACGGAATTAAAAAGGAGAATTATTATTGATTCTACTTTTAAATAGACTGTGAGGTAACTTAATATATATTTCAATAAAAATTAATGTGTTAGGTAGAACATTTTTCCTAACCCATATTAAAACACAAATAAACATTTCTGGTTTTAAATAACTTAACATAATAAACTATTAGAAATCGCGGAGGATAAAACCATTTGGTTTTACCTGCAACTTGGCTGAAATTCCAAGTTAGCTTTCCTTGGTATGAGTTCGACAACAATCTACACTTAGAGAACTATTTACAGGGTAATTGAGAAAACCAACTAGCAACAGAGTTTAGCACGGGGAAGCCTCTGTGTGTATTGGATAGACACAGCTCAAACTCCCGACACACACTTACAATTACAGGCTATAGCCGTTGTAGTTTATATATAGGGACAGCTGAAACGCATAGGGGAAGGATTTCAGGATTTAGGGACTAGGACGCTGTGCGTTTAGAGATCACATTTAAAACGCACGGTCAATTAATGTCACACACGCAGCTCGTCCATCAGGGGATGTTGCTGCTGTTGCTGCTGCTGCTGGTGTTGCTGCTGCTGATGTTGCTGCTGCTGGTGTTGCTGCTGCTGGTGTTGCTGGTGCTGCGTGGTGGTAGCCACAATCACCGGAACAGTGGGGGTGCCGGCACCACCAGGCCACCGGCCGTGGTGAGCACAGTGGTCATGCTTTGATTATGATGATTCTGCAAGTGTTGCTGATGGGTGACCACATGTTGCTGCTGCTGCTGCTGTTGCTGCTGCTGCTGCTGTGGGGAGGGGGGAGTGCTGCTGCGCCTGGGCCTGTGTCTGCTTCATGCAGCTCTTCTTGGTCAGCGTGCCGCACTGGTTGCCCATCACCTGAAGCGCATGTGGCGGTGGCATCTGCACCACCGCCCCGCTGACCGAGCCACCGCCCCCGGGATCCTGGAGGGATTTCATGTGCTTCGGCGGCGGGGGAGCTCGGTGGGGAATGTCGGCGAACTCCGGCGGCGGCAGCTGGTGGTGCTGCATGGCGTGGTGGTGCGAGAGGATCGTGGCGGGGTCGCTCTTCGCGTGGATCGTAAGTGTCTCCAGGTCCCCGCAAATGCTGTTCGGCATCTGGCCGTTCTCCTGCCTCTTCAGCTTGGTCTGGGGTCGGGGCTCACTGAGCCTGGTCTTATCCCTTTGGTAGTAGACCCCCGCGAAGATCAGCACGTTCAGGATCAGCAGGGAGCATCCTATAGCGATGGTTACACTTAATGCCGTGGAGTAGGCGGCGAATCCATCGTTGTCCTGCGAAGCACTGGCTGCTCCACCACCGTGGTCCCCGTCCATCATGTCGTCGGGATACATCTTGCCTGCCCCGTAGCGAGTTCCATTCCGCTGAAGGGACGATGAGGGGGAGCTCAGGTTTAGCAGGGAAAACACCTGGCTGGTGAAAAGGGTAAAGTTTCCCATGGCAGCCGCATTGGCAGCTCGTGAACTGTACGGCGGATTGAGTGGCTTCACAGAGGCATCGCTGGGAATATTGTTGTCCTCCTCGTCATCATCGTGCAGTTGGTGGTGAGCAGCGGGCACATTATCGCCACCGGGCTTATGCAGATCTGGGATGAGATTCAGCCAGAAGGAGAGCCGATGTGCTCTATAATGGTTCTTCAACTTTGGCTTTGTATCTGTAAGGAAAACATTTAACAGAAGAGGAAGAATTTTCGGTTGGGAATTTGATATCGTTAGAATATTTTATACATTAATTGAAAGCACTTAAATAAAACTGTTGCAAGCTTAGCTGGGAATGCATATTTATACTAACCGAAATTGAGGTATTTCTTATGCACACTTTCATAAGCCGTCCACTCGATTGTTTTATAGCGACTCCTTTCCTGGCGACTTCCGTGCTCCGCTTCCGTTTGCTCATTTGGATTGCTACAAATGGTCGAGATATTGTGTTTATTGTTAAATGCGATTTGAGCCGCTTGCACAGTGAAATGCGAGATAATTTCAACACAAACACATCACCGTAAATTAAAATAAAACCAATTAATGTGACCACATTGTGGGTGTAGTTTCAATTGGCAATCTTGTGTTCATGTATTTTGGGTAACAGAACGAAGCAAAGCTTAAGGTGACAGATTAGCTAATTTATTATAATAATATAAGGCTAGTAGTTTAAAAAACTTAAAAACTACCACATTTCTGTACAAAAATTGAGGAAAATGATTGCAATGTGTTTTCGGGTACAAAATGGTACACAAAATCTTATAAAAGAAGCTCGTAAATTAAAATTTTAAAATTTAACCAAGAGCTTAAAGGTGTATAATATTTTTCAGTGGTTGCGCTTGTGGTTGGGTTGGTAGCCCGCCACTCTTAGAGTTTCTCTTACCCGTTTCGCACAAAGTTGGACCAGTAGAACATCACAACTTCCGAGAGACTGATTTCGGTTTTCGTGTAGTTGCGCGTGAAGTGATTGAAACCACCAACGAGTGGGGCACCGAAGATATAGGGCAGGTCTTCTCCGTGGATGCATCCTTGGCGCTGCAAAATGCCAGAAAACCAGAAACCACATTAGGAGTTAGGTTTCATATCCAGTGTGTGACCCTGATCTTGTTGGTATTAACTAATTCAATGGAATCATCTCAGTAAGCTTAATATTTACTTTAATATTTATCTTAAATATTAAGCAACTTGTCATGTAAAATAAGTTACTTGCAATGCTAGGCAAGAAAATGTTTTAAAATATGTTTAGTTTAACTACGCTGAGTACATACTTAAAAGTATTTTCCGAAATTCTATTTAAGGTGCACAAGGTAACTTTTTAAAAATGTTCCCTAACGGCAATCGAAATGTTCGTTAATATTCATTATAAATTAAAGCCACAAACCCCATTGCGAGCTTGAACTCACCTGGGGATAATCACCGAACCGCGTCTGGTAGTCGAACACGTACAAATACGAGTTGCGATGATCCGCCGAGTGCAAATCCACCGTTTGAGCCGCGGGCGCCACAACCTGAGCATCGCTGAGCGCCTCCAGTGTTTCGTCCCTGCGGAAAACGGGGAAAAAAGCACAACATTAAAATCAAATAACAATTTTTCAATATTTGCCCACCCCTGGCCGCCCTTCAGCCGCTCTGCAATTTTCCGGCTATTTTGCTATTGCCCTTCGCCAATCGAGCTGTGTTCAAGTGCGCAACTAACAAGCCACTTTGAGTGCTGCCACTTTCGTTGATGTGGCTCGTATTTACCTGTTTACCGAGTGGGGTTCTCAACGCTGGTCTAAGCCTATTTTGGGATTTTCGCTTTTTTCGTCCACCTGATTTCCAGCGATTTTTCTTATTTTTTTCTGCTGTCTGCCCTTCTCGCGTTTTGGTTTTTTTAGCATTGGAAATGCAGCAGCGTAAAATTTGAATAAAACCCATTTGGCGCATTTGCATACATATCTTTTCAATGCAGCAAAGACGGAAAAAGCAGGAGCTGCTATGAAACAGCCCGCTGTGTCTTGTGCTTTTTATTATTTGCTGTCTGTCCTCCACATTTAGCGTTTATTATTAAACTAGCATTTCTATTAAACTGTAATAAAATACGCGACTCTTAAGCAGCAAACAGATAACATATCATAAATGTATTAATCTACATAAAAGCAAATTACTTTATTTTCGATATCTCATTTGAATACAAGTGATACTTCACTTTACTTATTCACGGATATACAGAATTCCTTTCTCGGCTAATAAATTAGAGATGCTTTATTCCATGTGAAAGCTTTCAAGATATCCAGCATATCACGACATACTCATCCTAGGCAGAATTTTCTACTTTCATTTGTTGCAGCTTCATATTTAATAAGTTGCCTCGCTAGAAAGAACTTCTTAGTGCGAAGAAGGCAAATCTGTTTCTTGCATTGCTTACATTCAAACGGAGAGGGAGCCTTCTTCCTTCAGCTGGTAAGCTCCTCCGCCCACTTGGAAATCCCCCACCCACCGGAACCTGTGATCAATGCTCCACGGAAACGAGGCCTTTGCCGGAGTTGAAGCGTGAAACGTTCGCCGTGCTTCATTGCAGGCCACTTAACGCACGTCCGCACAACTCCGGCAAATACTTTCGAACTGGGCTGTGAAAGGCCGCGTTAAGTATACGCCCTGTGTTGCACTAAGGGAAATCAATTTGTTTGCCATATTTCTTTGGAAATATTGAAATGTAATTCCGCATAAATTATGCAAAACGCAAATAAATTGTTTAAGGAAACCGAAACGAGAGTTGAAATACATATCGCACATGATATGAATGCATTTTGAACGACAGCTGCGATGTCACTTTGACCTAGTAGCAAACATAAATATTGATTGAAATCGAAAAATGAAAAGCAAATCATCTATTTGATTGGGCTTGTGTGCGAGCAATTTCCATGTCACTTATACGACCCGTTTGCGGACAAATTGCAGCCAAACATTATTTATGAAGATTGGCAGGCCGACATGAAGCGTAGTGAACGCACAAAAAATTTGCATTTCATTTGCCATAAGATTGGAATCAAGATTCATTTAAGCCGCTTTAATTGAAACCTGCCCGGGAAGTGGGCACCGGAGCAGGAGATCGGGGCATGACTTGCGCTTTTAATTAAGAACGAAATATTTATTTGGCACCCATCCCACCCACACCTTACTACCCGAAATCCCCGGCGACTTGGGCTCCGTCTTCACCCTTTGGAAAGGGCTCGCATACAAACGCAATTACTCACCGGATATTAATTGGATGCTGGACGGGCCTCTCCCAATCCGTATACTCATTGACAATCGTGGCGAATATCTCGTTCAAATGGAACGTGTACGTGTTGCGTACGTAGGCCTTTAAAATTCTCGAGCGTCGATCCGCCTCGATTCCATATTGCACGTCCCCCGAATTGAAGCTGAAAAAGGCCTCGGCACGTGTCACGCCGGCCATCAGGTCGTATCTGCGAAATACGGGTGAGAAATGCGAAAGTCAATATACGTATGCACTCAGAAAATCAAAATGATTTGTAAAGATTACACAAGGTTCTGGAATTCCTACACAAAATAATCAAGGCTGTTCTCTTGTCAAAAACATTACACCTAATATGTAAGAAAAGGTATGTGGAATGATTGAAAACAAGCCACATAACTAAATAACTTCATATTTAAATATGATTAATATTGTTTTGAGCAAAAAAGTATAGATAAATATTATTAGTTTGATACAAACTCAAAATTCAACCCTTAATGTTTGTTTTGTAGCTATTCGATTGAGTTGGAAAGCTTTGTACAACTCATTTATAAATTGTTAAATAAGTTGCAAGCAATTTGTCATAAGAATCGTTCATAATGTTTCTTTCCAGTACGTAAAAATCTAATTTGTCCACACAATATGAAACTTAATGCCCCACATTTGTTACAAAAAGCAAACCCATTTTCTTGAAGTGCCTTAAAATTGCTTATTCCCCAGGTGTCACAACCTTCCCCAGTTAACCCCTCGCCAAACATGAGATTCCCTGATAAGTTCACCTGAGTCGCTGATTGAAAGGGTTTGTTTCCAGAAAATGCCGACAATCTCACAGATTAAGAAATAAACCAAGGTCCTGCTCAAGTGCATTCTCTGGCTTAAATTATTCTTTGTAATTACAAATTTGCAACCAACAAATTGCATTTCTCAAGCATCAATTCACATTTATCTCTCTGCCACAATAATTTTGCCAGAAAACTTTGGATCCATTCATTTGTTAAACAAGTTGAAGCAAGCCCTTGCAGCCAACCGCACCCTTGATAGATACAAAACTTTGAAGCAACTCTTGGCCAAAAGCAGCTGGAAAAGTATCTACCAGTGACTGACCAGCGCAGCTTCTTGCAGCGTTTGCAATTTAAAATTTATTTTTGCCTTATTTGTTTACGCACTGTGTGAGATGGAGATAGATAGAAGGAGAGATTGTCGGTTGAAAGTTTTGCGTTTTATATTTGGTAAATTTTATTTGCTCTTTGTGCATGTGTTTAATGGAATTCCTTTGGATATTCGGGCTGCGTGTGTGTTCGGCAAATTGCTTTTAAATGTGCACAAAGAAATATTTATCCTCCTTTGGCAGGGCGACCGACTAATAGCCCCCGGGGCATTGACAGTTTACAAAGCGCACCGAGATAAATTCATGTTAGAGCCACAATGCGTTGCTGCACTCGGCTGGCAACTCAAAGCTGGGACCTCAAAGTGCTGCAATTTTCAACTCAAAAAGAGTTCTCATTAACTATTGACTGTGTGTTTGATTGGCTGGCACTCCGATTCCCTGGTAATTATCTATTCAATTGCATTGCGCTCCGTCGCTTGACATGAATTTTAGCTTACAGGAGATGGGAAGCAGTATGTTTATGCTGTTCGGAATTTATTTACAAGCTGCACACCTTTGATTGAATTTGTATTCCAAAAAGATGAGTTAGAAATAAGGAAGTACTATTTTAAAGAAAATAAAGAACTGATAAATTAATTCAAAAATGAACTGAGAAGGTGAAATATTGCTATCATTTTATTCTTTTTGAGATATGAAATCTTTTTATATTGCACATAGGTTCCAAGTTTCAAGATTCCTTTTAGTTATAGTTAACCTACTGGGCATCACTCATAAAATCGTATCTAATTAGCTGTTAATAATATACATTAACACTGTAAAATGGCTCAAACACAAAGTGCATAAATCAAGGGCCCACAGCCACTTCAGCTCCCCAGAAATCCGCAGGAGCCGCAATGACCAGCAACGAGCTGAGCATAACAAAATGAAGCCCAACATTTGCGTGCCTAATGTGCATAAATTAATTACAAGAAGGTGTGGGCAAAATGGTGGAGTGGGTTAATCTTATCGCCGGCTAAACTAACGGCTGTTGGGGGGTTCGTGCCGAGGCAAAAGTCAAGATGAGAGTCCTTCGACACCCAACAAAGCAAGCACAAACTTGCCAAAAGAAGTCAAAACTTTAAATTAATTATAGCGTACACTATACAAACATAAAAGATTGCACTGGACGGAAATGGATTATCTAAGTTGGTCAATAAACATACATGTTTCCAATATTTATGACTCCTAATATTTTTATAATTCAGCTTTACGTGTTTCAATCAAAGTGCACTTAATATATACATTTTGAAGGTGTTAAGTTCTATATTAAAAAAGTTTTAATACATTTTTCTTTGTGTATGCGATATATGTATGGGTAAGCGTTAAGGTAAAAATAATTAAGCATTTGCTGGCCTGGCCCAACTTACCTTGACAACTTGTTAATGGCAGTTTTTCTCATTAATACTGCATTAATTAAAAAGTCCACCGCATGTTGTGAAAGCGTGAGTGTTGTTGTTGATTCGCGCAGGCATATGTGTGAGGAAACACCATCATCATCGTCGGAATCATCATCATCGTCATCGTCAGCAGAAGCCGTTGGATCCGGGTTAAAGAGAAAAATGGAGGAGCAGGAAAAACCATTGCATTATAATTTGTTTTAATTATGCAAAGAGAATAAAAGTTATTTGCCAGTAAACGAAAAACGCGCCCAGGTCCGCTAAAATAATTTTTAATTAAGTTGATTAGCTTTTTTATGTTCTCAAAGAGATGCTTTGGAAATTAAAGCTTCAAATTGACATTGTTACCTTTTAATTAAACACAATTATTTTTTACTGGATCAAGGTAGATGAAAATATAATTTCGATGATTTTTAAGCTACCGGTTGAAAGCCAGTTCAGATAAAAGTTATACATTAAGATTTTATCTTATCTCTCCTAAGACTCATTTTATATTAGTCATGTATTTAATTGCATAGTTAATAGCTTCTGTATTTATCCCATATAGAACTGAATGCATTTATGCTTTTAACTAACCAAAAAGGTAACTCAAAAAGGGACATGTGGCAATAAAAATCCGTGCTCCCCATGTACACTATAACATACCGATATTCTCGAGTTGACCAGGCGTTCCCCAACCGCCGGCGGCAGCGATTCCCGCCTCTCCGCCCAATCCGTTCCCTGCAGCCGTGGAAGCCTGAGCTTGAGCCTGGGCCGCCGGGGATCCTGGGGCGGGCGGCACGTAGTCCCCGCCGTCAATGACCACTCCGTCGATGCTGGGCCCGAAGGCGAATCCGAACTCAGGCGGACGAATGGGGACGCTGAGCAGCTGGTCCAAGGTCTTCTCGCGCAGGCACTTCATGAGGTGGGCGTGCGGGAGGTCGGAGGCGCAGTTCACGTGGTGGGCCACGATAGCCGCGTACTTGGCCGGGTTGCTGACCAAAGACCAGGGGGCCAGACCCGAACCGGACATCAGGATGGCACGATTGAAGAGCAAACCTTGAGGGCAAGAGGACACGGGAAAAAATCAATTTTTTTTTGGTTGTTGTTTTGGCATTGAAACTTAGAACAAAAAACTAAAGAAATTAATAGCATAACTTATGGAATTTTGAAAATAATTATTGATTATATGGGTTAATGAAATTTGGTTAAAAAAGTGTTAAGTTTGACAGCATAATTTTATTTAGAGCACATATATTTCAATTGTTGATGTCGTTATGATTTAATTAATTAACATAATAAAAGTTTCTTTATTTATAAATCGAAATCCAATACATTTCAATTAGGTCTAAAAGGCAATAAAATAAATTTAAGAATGTATATTGGTATTAATACCAATAAATGAAGTTTAATAAATTTCGATTAAGTCAAATAAAAGATTTTTATAGCAAAATCGCAAAGTGGGTTTCTCCGTGTGGCAAATGAGATGGAGATGGCACCACCGGGCATGACGTATGTATGTTTATCCCGTCAGTGGGATAATGTCTGCTACTTACCCTCCGGCACGGCCATCGAGGAGATGAGGAAGTGGACGCAGGCTGCCCCCGTGCCGTGGCCAGCGAGGGTGATGCTGTTGGGGTCCCCGCCAAAGGAGCCGATGTTCTCCTTGAGCCAGTGCAGTGCCGCAATGATGTCCATCAGTCCGTAATTGGCCGGCAGCTTCGAGTATCGGTCCGTGTTGGCATTCAGAAAGCCTGCAAATAGTGGCCGCACTTAATCAGCACTTTTCCTTGCGCGGCTGATTGGCTCGCGAATGGAAATTTAATCGATTCGCAGCGTACTCGTGCAGTCAGTCAGTCGGTCGCTTTGCCTGTTTAAAATGTCAAACGCCGCTCTTTTTCCCGCTCTCCTCGTCGCGCAAAAATGTGCAAAGTCACGCGTGCAAATCATGATGTCAGCACTTCCGTTTCCTCTGCAACAACAGAGGCGGCGGCGGCAGCAGCAGCAAAGGGGGTCAGTTTAAGCGGGAGAGGGGCGGAAAGAAAGGGCGGCTGGCGCCAAATGAGGTCACACTAATTTCGTCTGTGCATTTGAATTTACACGAGGTTTTGACAGCGCACTGTGGACCGAATGTAAAAAATATAGGGTACTTATCATAAAATACTTTACTGACATTTAATTGAATACAGAAAAGTTTTTTAACTTTTCAGTTTAAGATGTCACTGTTTCAAGTTATTTTTAGCAACTCTAGGGATTTGCTTAATACATAAAGAAAATTTAAAAAGTTTATTCGTTGCTTTCGAAACATTAAAAAATTAAATTCATTCATTTTTTTTAAGTCTTGACCAAACTTTTCGCCTTTGTCTAGCATACTCAGAATTTTTACTTGTGCAAACATTTGTAGCTTGCGAACAATTTAGGAAAACAATATTGTGCTTTTTTAAGCGTATTAAACCATAATAATTTCGCACTCCAGTCCACTGTGCTGCCGATAAATTCAGCGCCAGACTGTAGGTAAATTAGTTAGATTATGGAATAAATGTGCGCCTCGTAGCTGCTGCAGTTGTTGCAGCTGCAGAGTTTGTTGTTGGCGCCGGAAGTGCAGTTGATGTTGCAGGGGGTTGGGGAAAAGAGGTTGGCTTAGAGGCTGAGTGGGCCGGTTGGATGGGGCACGTTCGCCCCATTGCCCTGACCTCACTCGCTGCCCGTCGCTCAGAGCTCCGTCCGTTTGGTCATGCTCTCGGCATATCAATTAGAATTAGGATTTGAGTGTGCGGGCACTTACCCAGCACTCCGAGGCGATAATTTATGGTTACCACCAATATTTGTCCATAGCTGGCCAACACGGATCCGTCGTAGGGATTGCCGCTGTTCCATTCATACGACTCCCCGTGCACGAAGACCAGCACTGGGTACTTGGCAGGACCTCCTCCTCCGGCTGACGAGGAGGAGGTTGACGAGGATGAGCCGGAGCCACCGCTTCCCGACGACGAGGAGCCCGCCGTTGAGGAAGAAGAACTGCCCGAGGAGTCACGCGATCCAACTGAAAAATATAGAGTAATAAAACATAAGTTTTTAATATAGGTGTGTTGTTTATTATTAAAAAACAAAAGTGATTTAGGTAAGTAATTTATTTTACTTTCAAAGGAAATCCTTCTAGGAATTCTAGTTAATTATTATCGGTAAAAAATAATAATTTTAATAATTTGTAAAAAAAATAATGACTAAAAGAAATCTTTAATTCAATTAATTTGTTTTGTTTGATATATTTTAAGTTTGTCATACAGATATAACTATAAACAAGAAAGGAAGCTAGCTTCGGCAAGCCGAAGCTTATATACCCTTGCAGTCATCAAATATGTCGAACAAAACGCATAAAGGCTAGACAACATCGAAGCTAAGACGATTTTTCTATTCATTTTCCATATTTTTGACTATAGATCATATGGGAGCTATACGATATAGTTGTCCGATTTTGATCAAATTTAACTCGTAATTCAAGAGTCGTAAGAACACTCTATATTCCAAAAATCATACTTGTCTGATGAAAAACAACGATGTTATCAATTTATTTCCATTAATTCTATATATAGTTTTCGATCCCTCCTATGGCAGCTATATGATAGAGTTATCCGATTTTGATCAAATTTAATCCGAAATTCAATAACAGTTAGAAAACGCCATCTTGAAGAATTCAAGTCGATCTGATGAAAAACAATAGAGTGAGAATTTTTTATTTCATTCTCTTGTATTGGAGCTATCCGATATAGTCGGCCGATCCGGCCCGTTCCGACTTATATACTGCGTGCAACAACTACACAACTTTTGGGAAAGTTTCAGCACGATAGCTTTAAAACTGAGAGACTAGTTTGCGCGGAAACGGACAGACGGACAGACGGACAGACGGACAGACGGACAGACGGACAGACGGACAGACGGACAGACGTACATACATATTTCGATTCTGCTCGTGATGCTGATCAAGAATATATATACTTTATGGGGTCTGAGGTGTCTCCTTCACTGCGTTGCAAACTTCTGACTGAAATTATAATACCCTTTTGCTCTGCAAGGGTATAAAAAGAAAAGACAAAAAACATATTTCCAGATTTTTTCCTGTGGAACAAATCGTTAAAAAAAATAGTAATTGACAGCTGCTCAATTAAAGTTAAAACGGATGTAAACTGTATAATGGGAAAGCAAAAATTGATTGTCTTTCCGGTGGAATTCCTGCGGAAATAATTCAAGCTTGCAACGAGAAAAATAATTGCCAAGGAAAAGATTCACGGTCTTAACTATAAAACCGCCAGCTGACAAGCCAAAACCATTAATCACCCCGGTCCAAGGAAATAGGTAAACAAGGCATTAAATCAGGTGTCTTCCATTGACTCGATTCCGGGACAAACGAGGGCCTAAGCCTCGAAAATAGCCAAATTAGACGTAAACAACTCTTTTCCCGTTTAACTTGTGTGACGAAAGGTCGAAGCCATCGAAGGTTCTCCTGGTCTAGTGGATTCTAATCCGAACGGACACGTTTCGGAGCTTAAGGTATTTACGTATTGAAAGGCTTTTTCCTAAGTAGGAAAATGCAGGGAGCTAAATTGATTCCCTTGTGCTGATGTGCGTCTGTACAGTAATCCCAACATTGTTGTAAGTTGTTAAAAAAAAGCCCATTTTGAGATTAGGGAGAGAAAATTCTGTCCGAAGGAACCATAGAGAGTAACTTGTTAAAAAAAAAAGGAATACCATACTTAAATATCCATATAAACACTAATATTGTACAAAGTTAGTTGTCTTAGTATTTTTTGTATAGTTTAAAGAAAGTTAAGCTGAGAAAATAATTAATAAAACTTAATTTTCTGTAATCTTAGACCTAACAAGAAGAAGATTTCCAAATAAACTTAGAAGGCAAAAACGTAAAAACCAAATTAAACTAGTACTCCCCCTCAAAAGGAAACACATCACTTTAAGACCACCTAGAAGTTAACTTAACCGAACTTTTAAGCAAGGAACACGAAATTGCTCGCAAAATGCAAACATAAATTTATCTTTAGAAAAGAAGGAAACGAGTTGGAAAGCAGAGTTTGTGCAGCTGCATCTTTGGTAGATACATATCGCATGTATCTGAGCACTCGCTTGTATCTGAGCTAGTCAACATCGGGCCACATCGACCCACCGCCCTGGTGCCACGCCCACAATAGCACAACCCCCTGCCCACCGACCCCTCGTGCCGAACAAAAGCCACAACAACAAGCGTAACAAAAGCAATATGAACACGGGTTTCTCGCCTGCTGCCCACATAGAAAGTTCCTCGCTGGAACAAAAGAACCTGCTTATCAATGCGGAAAAAGAGTTGCGGAGGCGATGGGGTTATGGGGTGGCAGTGGGGGAATTGGGGTTGAGGATGGGGGCTCTGCTACCAAGAGTTAGAAGAAGTGGCGAAACGAGCACCGTATAAAGGGCAAAGGAGGAAAGCGAGTTACTGTGTCACTGACTTTTATAAATAGCGCGAACAAAGAATGACTCGTGGCACGTGTGTGGACCTCGGGCAAAGAATCGAGGGGTCCGCACCATATATAGATGGCTATTGAAACCTGGCCAAAACCCACAGTGAGCCAGCCAGTCGATGTGTGTTAACGTGTCACAGAATGGAAACCAATGTCAATATCTCTGGAAAATCTTCGCGCCTCGATGTCACGGAGGTGCCACAATTCTCACATTTCGATCTAATTCAATGAGTTTCCTCCTTGTGGGGAGTTTTGAACCTTTTAACCCCCCACGTCTTGTATTCTATTCAAATATACATTGACTGATATATTTTTTGAAAAGTAATTCTACAATTCTAATTTTGACAAGAATACAGAGTGACGAAATGAGGAAAATTATACGTTTGTATTATTTCTTTTGTTGATCTTAATGTATCAAAGGAACTTTTCTCTCCTTAATTACCCTGGTAAACTGATGAAGAATAATAATAATAATTTGTCAATTGAGAACTTAGCAGTTTACTTCAGCGAATTGCACCGCATAATTCCGACTTTATATTTAAGTTCTAGCCTAACTTCTTGACTGTAACATCCAATGAATTCCAAGCGGTCCGCACAAATTCAAAGCCCCCTTCCAGTCATTACGGTAATTTGGGGCCAGGAAGGTTATTACCAGAATGCGAGGTAAAGGGAAAGCCACGTAACATGCAAACAGCATTTAAAACTTGTCTCCAAAACTTCCGACCACCCACCCAAAAGCCCGGCCAGAAAACTTTTGTTGTCATTTCAACAAAAATGACGACGTTTTCTGCAAGTTGCAGCCCCCGGGGGATGCTACTTACAACAACCGGAGAAAAAGAAATTAAACTTTTATGACTGCCCCCGAGAAGAAGTCAGCACATACACAAATGCACTGGCAACAAAGTATGAAAAATTTAAAATGTTTTAGCTTACGCTAATGAAAATCTTCTTCTTCTATTAATCTTTTAATTGAAGTCATTATTTATTCGATTTCCTTCAAATAGATTCCTTATACAAATATAATATCAATTCAATTTTTTTTAACTATTTTTCTCTTGTTTTATTCTGCACTTGTTATTATTTTTTTCTGTGCAGTAACAGATCACAGTCAGACATAAGTTTAGCAGGCCCGCCCACAACTGCCTCGCCTTAAAAAGCTTGTACAATAGTTTTTGCCGGGTGCTTGGCAAAAAGTTTGCTCCGCATAATTTCAGCAAATGTAAATATTTTGTAGGAACGCGTCTACAAATATGTGTTTGCCGGAAAACTAATGCGACTTTCGGGGCCCACTGTCGGGCTTGTTAATAAGTTGAACATGTTTTAATTTACAAGCTCACGCTGAGCTCGGGTTGTCGTTCAGGCAGCCATTTATTTACGACTGGCAAATCAGAACTTGGATGCCAACTTTTTAGAAAGTCTCGACTGAAAGTTGCGAGCTGCGGCCTTTCGAAACAGTGTCAACAGTTCTGTGTTATTTTGACTGGCATAAATTTAATCTTATTTGTGGCATGTGGCAAATGTGTTCTTTCTCGTTTCAGCCATCTAATGGCAGACATTTCCTCGCCACATTAAGCCAAATGTCGGCAGAGTGTGACTAAATGGAACTAAAGTGATTGGCACTGTTAAATCAGATCTCTCATGAATATGGTAACTCGTTAAAGAATGAAGGAATTAGAAAGGATAAAATGTAGAAGCTTGAAGGAAATGTCAGTAAACTTAATTAAATTATTCTTAATAAAATACCTCTTCTTAAAGTTTATGGTTCGTTCTAACTAATTTTGTTCCTGCTTTTCTACAATGTTTCTATTAGTCAGACTTTTCTAATAGATGTCCCCAAGTGAAAATTAAAAGCAATATCATAACTATGCCAAGCTTTTTCCTGCTCTAAATTTATAAATATCTCTCTAATTATGAGCACTAAAATTTTTGTTTAAGACATCTTTGCTGAACACATTTTTATGTGTACACATGCTTGCTTTGAAATTCCGCACAAACTAAGTTTAGCTGACAAACCACTCAACTATGTAGAGCAATTTGTTGATAATAAAGTTGCTGCTATTGAAATTCATTTTCAAGTATGCTCAACCAATATTGTATTGCTTGTTTTATGGGACACACTTTCACACCCAAAACAAACTCAATAAACAAAAAAGTAGCAAACTAAAAGCAGCAGAAGAAGAGGAGGCCTTTAGGCAACCAAAAACTAGGTGAAATCAATATCCCCAACTCATTTTGCTCGGCCTGCTGGCAGCCGCATTGTCGTCGTAGTTCCCCTGCTTTTCTCCTTGCCCCGGAAAACCCTTTCATTTCCTGCTCTCCAAACAATGCTACTTGTGTTCGATGAAAGAAGCTGCAAAAAATCTAGTTCATTTCGTTTTATGGTAGTTGTGTTGTAGCGAGAAAATTTCATTTCGTTGAACTTCAAGTTTAGTGTCGTCCTTTGTTGTTCACCACGGATATTTTCAAGTACAGCATTCTGGTCAAGAGGAATTATTTCGAGGGCTTAACAAATTTTCTTGTTTAAGAAAATTTAAGA